CCCTCTCAGCTACAACCACGAGAGAGAGACACACGCACACACACACACACACACACACACACACACACACACACACACACACACACACACAGGACTTACAGAGGCTCCGGGTTGTGTTTGAGTCCCAGTTTACTCCAAGCTTCCTCAGGGGTCAGATGTGGGTTCTCCTCCACGTCCAGCTCATGACTGCAAACACAAAATACTGCTTCACAATGTACTTATAATTATTATTTTCACATCTACATCTCGTTTTTGATCCTAATTTAGTTGTATTTCTTTTTGGAAAAACATTTGCTTCTTTTGAGACTTCAAACTTAATTTCTACATCAGAAAAGATCTCATGGAAATCTGGAATCAACTAGAAATGATCGGATGCTGTGACTACTTGAGTTCCACATTTGCCGTCGCTTCAAAGCCTCGACTGTCACAACCTTAAAGGTGCTAAATTACAAATGAAATGCATATCTATGATTGAGGGTGCTCAGCTGTGCGTGGAACCAACAGGCAGTCTATGGTATATTAGAATTAAGAGTGCTTATTTGTTTTAGACCTGTTGCAACTCATTTTAAGAACCTTATATCTGACCAGAGAGGAGAATGTTTAATTCCTTGACGGGATGATGGTCTGTATTTTTTATCACAAGTACACAAAGAAGACCATCAGACTCTGACGAGACGAAGACAACGCGCTCGCTTTCATTGCTGGTCACTACAGGTGCAGTGACCCTCCCCTCTTTTCATCCAATTCTCACAAAGCATGACCCATACATTATTTGTGAGGGGGTACAAAGCACACCTACAACAACACAAGCTAGTTAGTCTCCAAGAGTAAAAAACAGAACCAGTTCCTATTTTAAAGGTGGCTCAGAATTTCTTGAATCAACACATTCAATAACCACAAAGTAGAAACTCGCCTGCGTTTGACTTTGGGACGTCCTCCTCCAGGGGGTTTGTCATCATCGTCATCATTTTCTCTACTTGGCATCTTGTCCTGTGAGCCACACCGTCTGTCAGGGCTGCCAGATGCCTGCTGGGAATCTGAGTCCAAACATACAAGATATTTAGCAATGCAATTCCCACCAAATACACATTCAACCTCACTACAACCCTAATATGTCTAATTGCATGTTTATGGGGAAATGCTCGGTCTATACGAGTAAGATTAGACATTTTCAGTAGTGATTTGGCACAATCAAAAATAATAAAAAATGTTTGCTAAACTAATGTAATAAAAACCAAAACAGCATTTAAACAGTGGTGGGCCTTCAGGGCCAGCAGGGCCTTCTCTGCTGGCCTAAACAGAATCACAAAGTTATAGCTATTTTATAATTTAATAATTTTTCTTAAATACACTACATGTATTATAATTTATAAAAATATTTTCCCCATTATCTTATTTTCTCATTGCACAGCTACTGTCTTCCTCAGTTGCTCTGCTTCCAGTGCAGCTTGTTTTAAGGAGAGCTTTTGTCCAATCAGATTTCACCTCTGTGCTGTCTCTAAGTAAAAAAATCTGCCGGAGGCCTTCAGACTTATAAGTGAATCTCTTTGCAGTTTAAGTGAATGGGGACGATATTGTTGATTGTCATAGTGTTCAACCAATCAGATCTTTAGTTTGACATGTTGGGCGTATTCTTTGACATGTCAGAGCTTCTAGCTTTAACGTTTTGGCCTAAAATCAATTGAGATTCTGTGACATGAACCGAAGAGAGCCATTCGATGTTTCTGAAATGTCAATAAACAGGTGTGAAATTCCTCTACATATGAAGGCAACGTCTGGCTGTGGTCACTGCTGTAAAATACATTTACTAAAACCAAGGGTTCACTTTCCTTTTCTCACCTGACTTTGAATGTTTGGAGCAAATAATTCAATAAATATACCAAAACGTGCAATTGTTTTTTGTGTGACATTTTCCAGGACATGTAGCTTGTCCATTAATGTGACTGTGAAGAATTTCAGATCGTATATCATGAATAAATTGTGTAGAAATGCAGGGGAATCCACTGACTTATTTCCTGGCCATGGAAACACGTGTACACCCGGTTCTCACCTGTATGTTCAGCGGTGTTCTGCTGTGAGGAGGCTGCAGGTCTCTTGCGATCGCTCCCCCCATCAGAGGGATGATCAGAGCCACAGAGCTCTCTCTCGGCCGCGCTCACAAGCCGTCCGTCCGTCTCTGAGTCACTCACAGATCTCCCACCTGCTTCCAATGTGCACTTCTGTCCAAGCAGATCATTCAAATCCTTGACGTCGTCACAAAGAGCCTTCACTCCTTCTTCGTCTCTCTGGTGGCTCTTAGCCTCTGTCTGTCCATCCCTTCGGATATCTGGGTGCGTCTCTTTGTCTCCGCCCACCCGACCCCCTGCTGCTGCTTCTTCTCCACCAGTGTTCCCATTACAGACTGACTGGTCAGCGGTCCAGCCCTGTGCCGACCAGTACGAGTACTGCTCCCAGTAGGTGTAGTAGGTCTCTGCGGCATGTTTGTCCCAGATAGCCTTTGTGTCCGGGTCGTCCCATGAAGCAGTCACTGTTCCTGGATCAGTCTCTGGATGTTTCTCCAGCCAGCTGCTCCACAGCAGAGCTTCTCCCTGCTGAGCTGCAGGACACAGAGGAAACCAAGATAAATCAGCTTCATATTTACAGTGTGACAACTACATACAATGTCTGAAACACACCTAGAAATTTGATATAGACCGATGAGGGAAAACGTCACATTTGATTGAGTTTCATGGTACAAGTGTGAATATGTGTCCTTGTCATGTTCATGTCCTTTTTACCCCAGTAGGTCTCCCAGCCAGCAGCTTGGCTCCCTCCTGCTCCTTCCTCCAGTGGATCACACACTTCCTTCACATCAACTAGGTGGAAAATCACAAGGCACCGTCAAATAACATCACAACACTGCACACATGATAATAATATGTACAAATAAATACAATTAAATTCATGAATTAGGACAACACAAAACAGAAAAAGGCCATGACAATGTGAGGAGGGAAGATCTAGAGCAGATCTACATTAGAGTACTAGGATCACTCAATCAATGAATACTCGACTGAGATTGTATCAGTGTAAATGTATCGAACCAGTTAAACCAAAGGGAGACATATCGTGCTTGTTTTCAGGTTCATTTGGGGTTTACCACGTAGTAGTTGCACCAACCAGTCATCCAAAATAACCTCACTTTTTATCCTACTAATCATAATTAGCATATTAAACCAAATTTGAAGAAATCCCCTCCAGGCATTCCTGAGATATTGCTTTCACAAGAATGGACCGGACAGAAGGACGGACAACCTGAAAACATATCTGTCTCTGTCGCGGCTATTGGCGGTGCAGAGGCATAAAAACACAGTATTGTTCTCATAGCTGTGACATCACAAAGTCCTGGCGGCTCGTTTACAGGCACAGTTTGTGCATTTGTCTGTGGATTGAGTGGTTTGATACTTCACAGTATTTATAAAGCACATAGACCTGTTTTATGATGAGAAACAAAAAATCTCACTTTCTACAATATGGGACCTTTAAATCAATACAACAGCAATATCCCAGATTTAAGCACAAAAAGCACTGAGGTGAAGGGGACACTATTGGACTGTGTTTGTCAATGCAGTTAAATGAAATGAAAGATCATCTCTGCAGACATTCGAATCGACCCTGGCTTTTTTATTTTTCGGGCTGTACCCAGACGACCGCAGGTATAACAGAGGAGAACAAATGATGAAAGATATGAGCCTCCTGCACGCCGAAAGACCAAGTGTCACACTTTGGGTTGGGAAATTGATAACTTTTCCTTTTCAAAGAGTGGCATACTGTACATACAGAGAGGGAAGGTTTGAAAAGGTCAGTGGACCATTTCCTGCTTTACAGATGTATGGGTGATGAAGAGGAATGAGTACTCACACTTTAGTCAATCTGAGATCAATCTTGTGACAATAATGAAGTACTTTTCATGTTATGCTTAGTATTTATGTACAGTATGTATAAAAGAGGGCTTCTCGTCTGAAAAGCGGAGCGGGTCCTCTTCACGGAGTGAGCCATGTTGTGTGTTGATGTTTCTACAGTAGCCCAGGACGTACAAACAAAACTAGAGAGGGCCTCTCAAGGTTTGTTTTTTTACGTTACCAGAGAGGCCACCGTAGTTCTCTGGCACTAAAAGGTGGTAAAACTGTGGTACCGCCAGCCTCCGTCTGACTTCTGTTCCTCCTATAGTAGTGTTATTATGGTATGGACGGCCTCACCATCATAACACTGCTATCTGCAACCACACAGCTGGATGCCACCAAATCCTACACGATGTCCCTTAAAATTCAGGCGTTACTGATTTGTCCTGCCTGAGACGCTGCAGCAGGAGGTACCAAAGCTGCGTAGGCCCAAACGTGTTTCATAAGCTTCAAACTGATCACCGATCAGTGCATAACCTCATAGCCTAATTATGAGGAACCCGGTCAAGCTGCTTGCTTTACTATGTATTCACTTTTGAATGAAATGGAACTGTGGATGGCTTCTGTCGCATACGTATTTGTAACTACAATAAGTTAATTGTCTTACCTTTGTTGTCAACCTGTAGATCTTCTTCCTCCTCTCCAGCTGATTCTGACCGGTATGCGTCAGGCTTCCTGTTCAACTTCCTCCCCTGTCACATGACCAAAGACAGGCTTGTTCAGTGGCAGGAAGTGCTCCAGACCTTTGAGTTTACCTTCACCTCTAGGAGGCGACTGAAACACCACGACAGACCACACAGACGCAGTGCTGATGGGAACCACTTACCCCTCTCCTCTGGCCAGAGGAGCTGACAAAAGCCACCGGCAGACCCATGCTGGCCATCAGCTGAGCCTCTTCATTCAACACCTCCTTCTCCTCCTCTTCATCATCTTCTGCCTCCTCCTCTTCTTCATCATCTGCTTCTGTGAGTGGAGGGGAAACTGGTTTCAAATGGACTCTCCATCGTCTCCATCTTCTTCTGAAGGCTCAGTGTATTGTGAAAGATGTTGACAGTGGCGTTATATGTATAGCATACCTTGGACTCTAGTGTCTGCCAGATCAAATGGGAGCAGTCTGTTATCAGAGCGATACAGCTCCCGATCCCTGCAGTCAGAGAACACAGAGAAGAAGAAAAGCTGATGAAGATCTCCTCAGCTTCATCCATCTTCACTCTACGGTGTGTGTCATCATCACACATTCATGACAATAACTGCTGGAGGACACAATCACATGTGAGAGACTTACTGCACGAAGGCTTTGGAGCAGCGACAGTGAATTCTCTCCTCCTCCGTCTCAGATGAGAGTCTCCTGCTGAAAAAGATCTCCGCCACCACCGTCACCCTGCTCCTCTCCAGCATCATGACGATCGGCTCACGGACAGCAGCGCGCGCGCGCGCGCGCACACACACACACACACACACACACGTCCACACACCGGCTTCACCCGGAGTTCACGTCTATGTCGAGACCAGCGTGGGTTCACTTCAACATCACACTCACGTTCAGGAAACAGTTCCGTGGGACCAGGGACCATGGACTGATACTTCCGGCCATGTCTTTTCAGAACAAAAGTGTGGCAGTGGAGCATGTAGGGGTCAAACTGATTTTAACTTCTTGGATTGTGTTTACTACAGTAGTGCTGGACCCGTAAACTTATCGTTATATTATTATTTTTTAGAAATAGAAAATATGACATTATTAACGGTACTTTTTAGTTTTTTATGCTTTTATCTTGAAGTCTACGTGTCAAACAGGAAGTTTGTCGCTGCTAAGTGGAACTTATCTATCTGAACGCTGTTTTCAGGGGACGCAACATTCTGTAGTGTCACAGTTAAAGCGTTCCGGAGTTAGCGACAGGACAGTTGTTAGCTAACAAATATATATATGTATATACATATATATATATATATATATTATGCTAGGGTAGCTAACACTAAATAAACAGTGGCGTGTTGTGTCATGGCTCTGTTCACAGAGTAGCTGTCTAGGTCTAAGGTAACGTTTTCTGTGTTAAGTAATTAGGTGACTTTGGCTGTTGACGTAAACACTGAAGGCTTGCTGTCAACTCTCAGATTTTGCTCTTCTGCTCAGTTAACGTGACGTTACAAACGTTACGTAACGCTCACTGTTTTACCACAGCTCCTGTACTCATTGCTAAGAGTGTAACACTAAATATAGCTTCGATGAAAGCATATGCAACACAGCTGTCATTTGATTCAGTGCCACAAATAGGGTTGGGTGTCGTGACTCTCGTGCCATTCAAACCCGATTTTATTTCTATTCAAAAATATTATTACAAAAGGCACGTTTTTCAATAAAACTTTATTGACAAACAATAAAAACCCCTCAGATATACGTTAGTTTCCCTAACACAGACAGCTGACCATAAGCTAAATTAAATGCAGTGTAATTGAGCTATTGTTTTCCTCTCTCCCTCAGTTACCTGTGTGTAAGCAGATGCTCTCCATGCAGTGTGTTCCATCTCCTTGAGGCTGACCGCAGAGCAGGATGTCAGACAGTGGGAACCAGTCCTGTCTGATGGGAGCAGAGGACACTGTCTCCTTCCTGGTAGGAACCCTGTCCATTCAGTATTTACACTTACAACACGGCTGCTGTTCATAAGAAGAAAAGAAAGAAAGCTTTATTAATCCCTCTTGGGGAAATTCTAACACACACTCATTGGAGAGATGCCAGAGTTACGGGGCTGCCACATAATCTGCGCTCCAAGCTATTTGGGGTTCAATGCATTGCTCAAGGGAACCCAGGCATTGTCCAGGAGGTGAACTAGCACCTCTTCAGCCAACAACATGGTCCGATCTGGACTTTTGTGTGTGTGTGTGTGTGTGTGTGTGTGTGTGTGTGTGTGTGTGTGTGTGTGTGCGCACTGTTTAATGTGCCCTCTTAAAAAGGTCAGTTCACCCAAATCACACAAAGATGCTCCTATTTTCCTGATGTGTGAACAGCTATTAGGGTGCTGGAAGCATCAACGTTGGAATTATTATTCTATCTGATTCCATAGAGCTCATAGTAAACCCAGAAATAATTAGTAGCATTCCAAGACATCCTGTAATATCTGCGTTGCCTAACACAGAGGTAGCCAACACAGGGAGCCAACGAGTATGATATAAATGTATGATATTCATAATTTGAAGTTAAACTGAGCAAATTTATTATTTGGTATAATTATATCAAAGAAGAAGCCTTCCATATTAGTCTCCATCCATTAAGAGGCTCTCAGTCTCAAAAAGGTTGGTCTAACAGAAATGGTTTCAAATGAAAGACAGTAAGTTTGTCTTTCTAACAATACTAAAACATTCATATTTGTCATAGAATCGAATAGAACCAAAATCTCTGGTCAAGAAGTCTGTGCCCTTTTATTATAAGTATTGCGGTATGAACAAATCCCTGCGACCCAGTCACTATGCTACCACGACTAATCCTTGTGCACTGATTGCAGATCCGAAAGCAGGGTTTAAGCATTTGTTCGGATTTACACATCTGGTTTTCTAACCCCAGATGTGCTCCGTATAAACACGAATGTGTCCACACAATATCATGGGAATCCGTCCGACAGCTGTTTAGACGTGCCGGTCTGGACCGAAGTATTGACCCGTCTGTCTCGTTCCACAGGTGTGTGTGTTCCACGCGTGGGAGGAGTGGGCCGGCCTTGGTCAGCTGGAGGACTACCTGAGTGTTTTGGAGTACCTGCTGTGGGTCTTCACCCCTCTGATCGTCGTCTTCATCCTGCCCTTCCTCATCGTCATCCTCCTTTACCTCTCCATACTCTTCCTTCATGTCTACAAGGTAGCAACCGCTCTTTGCACAATCTGCACTGAGCCAGCAGTGTACGTCAGTTCATGTCATTCACCAAATGATGCACTTTCATGCAATGAAAGCACCCACAAATGATTGAACTCCTTTGTTTTTAGGTAGAAGTAATGGTTGCTACTACTCACATTTAATACCCTGTCATGATTAGACAGATCTTACTGGATCAGATTGTGAGCTTACAATCATCAATCTTCAACTCTATCTTTTATCTTCAGTTGCTGGTCCCTGTGTTTTGTCGCTATCAGATTAAAACTGAACAATTCTATTTAAAATGTGATGTAGGCTAGAGCCTAACACACAGCCAGATGCCACCACTTTATCATAGTCTGGTAAATGATGAATTAATGAACATTGAATTAAACCTAATTGTACACCTTTTGCCTTTCTGAATCCAGCTCTTGTTTAAAGATAAATGAGCGCAGTCCTTGTACATCGTACATGCATTCATATCTCTACTTCCACTGGATTCAAATGGAGGCTCTGCTTTCTAAGTACCTGTTGCCACGGTGAATCGTGGAATCGGAGCTTCATTGACGATAGCTTCTTTCTTTCTCCATAAACGAGCTTAGCTCAGAGTTGACTGAACAAACTCTGATCAGCTGTTCTGGAACTGAAATCTCAGTCTCCCATCTATGTGTTAGTTTACTCAGAGTTCAGGGTTAAACTCAGAGTTTGTTGAACCTGCTATCTGAAACAGGGCCCAGGTTGTTAAAAGTATCTTGCCTGGTCCTTTGCTCATGTCTTTTCTGATGTTTTCTTCTAACAGAGGAAGAATCAGCTGAGGGAGGCTTACTGCAACAACCTGTGGGACGGAGCCAGGAAGACCCTGGCTACTCTGTGGGACGGACATGGAGCCATATGGCATGGTAAGACACCATAGGCTTCATTTACTGAAGATTTGTGGCATCCTTTTGATTCCGTCCCTTCAGATAGCATTTCTTACAACTGCTGCCTTGCAATAGAAATATGTTGTTAGTGTTTATCAGTAGTATTTTATCTTGTTTCTTACAGTTAACAACTCTAATGTGTGTTTACTTGTGGTTCCTCTCCCTGAGCACAATATTCATATGTTTCTTTATGCTTTATTTTTAATTTCTTTTTTGAATTAATCTAAACAGGTATTGGTGTAAAACATGGATATGCATTGTTATGTATGTATGGAGCAAAGAGGGAAAACCAATCACACACTAGGGTTTGTGTATTTTCTGTGCTTACACTCAGCACCCCAACTTGACAGAAAAAAACAAATGTAGAAATCTTTGCAAATTTATTAAAAAAGAAAAAGTGAAATATCACATGGTCATAAGTATTCAGACCCTTTGCTCAGTATTGAGTAGAAGCACCCTTTTGAGCTAGTACAGCCATGAGTCTTCTTGGGAATGATGCAACAAGTTTTTCACACCTGGATTTGGGGATCCTCTGCCATTCTTCCTTGCAGATCCTCTCCAGTTCCGTCAGGTTGGATGGTGAACGTTGGTGGACAGCCATTTTCAGGTCTCTCCAGAGATGCTCAATTGGGTTTAGGTCAGGGCTCTGGCTGGGCCAGTCAAGAATGGTCACAGAGTTGTTCCGAAGCCACTCCTTTGTTATTTTAGCTGTGTGCTTAGGGTCATTGTCTTGTTGGAAGGTGAACCTTCGGCCCAGTCTGAGGTCCAGAGCACCCTGGAAGAGGTTTTCTTCCAGGATATCTCTGTACTTGGCCGCATCCATCTTTCCTTCAATTGCAACTAGTCGTCCTGTCCCTGCAGCTGAAAAACACCCCCATAGCATGATGCTGCCACCACCATATTTCACTGTTGGGATTGTATTGGGCAGGTGATGAGCAGTGCCTGGTTTTCTCCACACATACTGCTTAGAATTAACGCCAAAAAGTTCAATCTTGGTCTCATCAGACCAGAGAATCTTATTTCTCATAGTCTGGGAGTCCTTCATGTGTTTTTTGGCAAACTCTATGCGGGCTTTCATATGTCTTGCACTGAGGAGAGGCTTCCGTCGGGCCACTCTACCATAAAGCCCCGACTGGTGGAGGGCTGCAGTGATAGTTGACTTTGTGGAACTTTCTCCCATCTCCCTACTGCATCTCTGGAGCTCAGCCACAGTGATCTTTGGGTTCTTCTTTACCTCTCTCACCAAGGCTCTTCTTCCACGATTGCTCAGTTTGGCTGGACGGCCAGGTCTAGGAAGAGTTCTGGTCGTCCCAAACTTCTTCCATTTAAGGATTATGGAGGCCACTGTGCTGTTAGGAACCTTGAGTGCTGCAGAAATTCTTTTGTAACCTTGGCCAGATCTGTGCCTTGCCACAATTCTGTCTCTGAGCTCCTTGGGCAGTTCCTTCGACCTCATGATTCTCATTTGCTCCGACATGCACTGTGAGCTGTAAGGTCTTATATAGACAGGTGTGTGCCTTTCCTAATCAAGTCCAATCAGTTTAATTAAACACAGCTGGACTCCAATGAAGGAGTAGAACCATCTCAAGGAGGATCAGAAGAAATGGACAGCATGTGAGTTAAATATGAGTGTCACAGCAAAGGGTCTGAATACTTATGACCATGTGATATTTCAGTTTTTCTTTTTTAGTAAATTTGCAAAAATTTCTACATTTCTGTTTTTTTCTGTCAAGATGGGGTGCCGAGTGTACATTAAGGAGAAATAAAATGAACTTTTTTGATTTTAGCAAATGGCTGCAATGAAACAAAGAGTGAAACATTTAAAGGGGTCTGAATACTTTCCGTACCCACTGTATATGAATAGTTACGATAAAGCTATAGTTACTTCTGCGTTAAAGGCAGAGGCGCTAAAGTGCCACTCATGGGGTCTGTGTTTGCAGTAATGTCGTGCTGTACAGATCTCTGGTTCAAAGTGGTGGAAAGGATCACTCCATGTGTAGATGTTTGGTTTTTAAATCCAATTCATATTCCTCCCATAGCTCCATCTGAGACAACCCTATAATATTTCTTGGCATATTTTATATCATTATCTGCAGTTTCCCAATGTTTTTAACATGTTTAAAAATGAATTACTTCCCATCAGAATCTTTTTTACTGATTCATATTTACTTACTCTAATATTGTGGAAAATAGGCTGGAGCATAATTGGTTACAAAATGTGTCTACAATAAGTATCATATATAATGATCACAGTAATACTAATGAAACAGTGATATTTGTTATATCTCACTACCACATTGTAACACAATTCTATTTGTGTTCAGAGACAGTATAGCAGTGTGGAACCTCTGGTGGCTGTTTAACTTAACTTTGGATTTATTTATTACTGTACGTGATGATTCATGACAAGGTGGGGGCAGAATATGGAAAATATGAATCAGCAAATATTTTAAATAATATACTTCTATATGTTTTCCTCTCACATTATTATACCCTCTTGAAATACATTCCATCATAATGTGCCTCCTATTTTATTTCAATATACTTAATACAGGGTGATTTATATGGGTTTTGTTGAATTGTGTAAAGTGTTACTAACCAGGCCGAACAGCCATGACAAAAAAGTAGATGCACACAACGACGCAAATTAACAAATTATTTATTAACTTAAGGCAACATAAGAGATAAACATAGACTAACAGTGGCATGTGAAGTCAGTTATTTCAGCAGTGTAGGTGAGTGCGTGCGAGGAAAGTGTGTATGCAATGTTGTATAGTGTAGAAACAAACCTCAACCAAAACCCAAATGGTGCCTCAGGAAGGAGAGAGGGACCCACTGAGACTCAAGAGGGTTTGAAACAGAGTGCACTGGCACACACTCTTCTCCACTCTGCCACACCCACCTCCAACACCTACAGGGAAAGCAGCCACACAAACAGAGCAACAGGGAGAGAGGGTCGTCACAAAAGGACTTTCTGTTTTTGGATCGACTGTATTTAGTTATTTTCTCACTTTGCAGCCTTTTTTTCTCAATGCTATTAATATTTTGGCAAAATTAGTGAATATGCTTTCCTCATTATTTCTGCCAGGCATAAGCCTGTGGAGAGATCATGCATTCAGTTGTGTGTGAGTTCACGTGTGTGTGTCTGTCCACAGCTAATCTTGCATACTACTGGACCCAGCAGCCTAATATTTCTTGTGCTAATATTTGACTCTATGCTCAATGACCTGTCATTGTTGCAATGATTCACACTTTTTGTTTTGTACTGTCATTCACTGCTGACTCACTTCTCTTAACTGGCCGGTAAGGGACACAAGTGATCAACAGCTGCTTCAGTAGCAAAAGGCATTTCAGGAAAACTAGCTATTTTGTTGCAGGCCAGATGTTGGCCTTTGTCGTTGCTAAAAACTGATATCCATAGAAAGGTTTGGTCTGATTTTGATCCGTAGCATCTGCAGAATAATTCCATAACTGATATGTTAGGATTTACTAAAGTTAGGCACAATATCAGATAAATAAATCCCTGTACTTATTGGATTTTAATGGAATAACATGTATGCTTCATGTACTCTGTGTTCCAGGTTATGAGATCCATGGCATGGAAAAGATCCCTGACAAAGGACCAGCACTGATAGTTTACTATCATGGAGCCATTCCCATCGATTACTATTACTTTCTTGCCAATGTTATCATCCAGAAAGGACGGCCCTGCCACTCTGTAGCTGACCACTTCCTCTTCAAGGTCCCAGGTACTTGCACTGTTTCACACATGAATGCATACTCTACCAATCCCCACTAGTACTGCTGATCTCCTTTTATGTTCAGTGTATGTTTTGGTTTGCTTTTCAATTTGTTGTTTTAATAGATTTTTTTCTCATAAATTAGGGCTTAATCCAAACTAAAGAGTTGAAACCAGGCGGCAACCTCTGATTCTGCTGAGTGAAGCCAATGCTGAAGTGTCTTAAGACTTGCATTCTCTCTAATGTCCACCAGGGGCAGTCTATGAGAAAATGACTCTACTTCTCTCTTGATTTATTACCTCAGTAAACATTGTAAACATGAGTTTATGGTCTCAATCTCTAGTTTCAAGTCTTCTTCAATACAGCATGATGTTCATTTAGTAAATAATGGTCCATTTAGAGTCAAACAGACCATAAAGCAGGGGATGCTTTAGGGCGGAGCTACTGTGATTGACAGGTCGCTGCCTTCTCCAGAGCCATATATGGCGTCTCTACGTACACACCGAATGCATTCCAAATATGGTCACTTACGTTGATTGGTTGCAAAAAAAACAACATGGTGACGGCAATAATCCAAGATGGTGGCGGCGAAATCAGTCAGATGATGTTTGTACTAGAAAGTCGTGGGGTGTCGGGATGGAATGACAATTTGTTTACCTTGTCTAGTTTGACAACTTTTACGAAATCAGTGCTATGCTTGTATGGCGAGCACGTCCGTTCGTAACGGGCCGATTGTTTGGCCCCTTTGTCAAGAACCACTTATCGCTTGTTAACTACAAGTAAGTGGAAAAGAGTTGGGATGTAACTCTAGCATATCCAGCAGCAACAGTGAAATGCAGTCAATGTAAAGGTAAAGACATATTCGACTCCACCGAGCCCTGAAGCGCAGAGCGTTGTTTGCTTGTTTATTCAAACTTTATTAATATTGAACGTTTTCAAACATTAAACGGCTCCTCTGTAATTGCTGTGCATATGACTATAAAGAGTCCACCTTCACAGTTCGGTCACTGAATGACTCCAGCTGCACTACCATTCAGAAAACCCTGATGACACAGAACCATTTGTTGTCGGTGAAGTCTGTTTCTGACACCCTTCTGTTCACCTCTGTACGCGACACACGTCAGGAAATCTTGTCAGTAAATCACTTTTTGAAAATACTAGCTTTGTCTTCATTTTTTTTATCTTCACCTCGGCTCTTTCTTATTTTAATGTATCCTTACTTTTATCATCCTGTCCCGTTCCTCCAGGTTTCAAGTTACTGTTGGAGGTATTCAGTGTGATCCACGGTCCTCAGGAGGAGTGTGTGCGGGCTCTGAGGAGTGGTCACCTGTTGGGGATTTCTCCAGGTGGGGTGCGGGAAGCTCTGTTCAGTGATGAGACCTACCCTCTCCTCTGGGGCAAACGCAAAGGCTTCGCCCAGGTCGCCATCGACTCTCAAGTGGTGCGTTATGCTTCCTGAAATCTACCGTCACTGTCCGTCAGGGCTTTTGTCAAAGTTTCAACCTGGAGTGCACGACATTGTAGATAACATTCACATTATAAATCTTGCAGGTATAGAATGTACATTTTCAGCATTAAAATGTACAAAAATGAGTTGTAATATATATATAAATAATATTTCTTGAGTTGTGTGCTAACTTTATCTCAAATATTTCCAAAAATGTTCAAACCTAGAGAATAACGTACCTTTAATTAAGTTCCGTTCTATTTGGACGTCAATATCAATGGCACAATATCCCTGTTGTGCATGCGTCAAAAGCTGTCATAAATCGACTTTTTATACAGTTTTAAGCCACATTTTTCCGATACATTTTTAGTTTTTGGTAGTTTTTAACTAGGTAATTTGGTTAAATGACGGATTTTAGTCATTGGACGTTTGGATCTTAAGTTATGAGAGAAACAAGCTGACAGCAGCTTGGCTCGCAGCCCCTCCGGGACGTCCTGTGTCCACCGAACAGCAGATTTTTAGCGTGAAGCACCTTTATTCAGTGTTTAACTGGTTTAAGTCACCGCGTCCGTTGATTTTGGAGAGGAGGAGACCTCTGTGGTAAAATCCTTCTGAAGGATGAACACTGAAGGAAACCTAACTGGGAGAAGCTGACTGCCCGCGCTGTGGTTTAACTGAATGTCTCTCTCCAGGCAAAAAAATCTCTAAAACATGCGTTGTTTTCTGTTTCTGCCACTTTTGATTTAATCCAATAAACAAACTATCAAAATGTACACGGACACTGTACCTTAACGTGACTGACGAGCCTTCTGGGCAGCTCTACTTCTTGGTCCTCTCGTGTTGGACTGAGGACTGACTGGACGCTACAGTGACTCACTATTGCCCCTGGAGGTACAAGTGGTACTACAAGACGGGACAGGCCGGGGGCGATCTAGTTAGCATGCCTCTGCATCACAACACATAGACGTCTTTGACATGACGTCAACATTGTAACCTCCACACATTCTGTTGATCATGTTAGTTCATTTTATGGATGTTTTAAACTTAAATTCTGACCACATTGCACCTTTTAATTGAAAATTGTCAATATGGAAAAATATATTTGTATTTGTTTAGATAGTTGATACTGAATCTCCTGGCATAATTACCCACTGTAGATACTAACAAGTAGTGCATGTTTTAGTTTCCTACATGTAAATGCAGCTGACCAGCAGAAGTTCATATGAAGTGTGATGACGAACATTCTGGCTGGTACAAAATAAGTCACAAATTTATGCGGCCGTTCATCATCAGATGACCATGTGGTCATTTGTATATTGTCACACTAAAAACAGCCAGCTAAACATTCATGGATGTGCAACTTATTTTGTCTAAAACCCACCAGGAACGCCAACCCAGACAAGTTAGTTTACCAATGTACATGTATTAAATGTCTAAAGCTTAGTGCCTCACACACAAACAAGGCCAGATTAGTGTCATACTTCACCGTCTAATTGCAGCATCTGTTTTATTCATGTTAGAAATGTGCGGTGTAGAAAGCCCTCCTCTCTAATCTTCTTTCTCTTGCTCTCCCTGTCTTCCAGCCAGTAATTCCAATGTTTACTCAAAATCTGCGGGAAGGCTTCAGATCGCTGGGAACACTCAGTAAGTGTAGAAGCAAGTTCAAATCTCTAAGACAGCACCACCAAGCTGAGTAAGGAAGACACAGCACAGGCCATTGCATTCAGATGTATGGAGAGTGTTTCCTCTATAATCTACTGAGAAACATCGCATTTTGAGTATTTGTGTATGTGGGATATGGGTGTGAAAATAATCCAAGTGTGTGTTCATGGTAATGAAGGCACTTGTCCCCCAGTGCTACAGTGTGGCTCATTTACGTTTTGGTAATAGTTTAGGACAACAATGTAGCTGCCTGATATATCAGGCTTTGATAGCCACACAATACTTGTTAGTGGATACTTTCAGTTTGTTTTGGTCTGCACTAGAAGAAAAATATAGTCCTCACAATAGTGTGGTAGCAAGGGCAGTGTGCTGACTGGACTCAATGAATGATATAATATGAATGTGATGGTGACCTGTTCATTTGTCATCTTCTGCAGTTTAATCTGAGACTTCTTTTTATATTTCTCCATGTAACATGCTGTCTCTGTCTGTGTGTGTGTGTCTCTTTATTCAGGATTTTTCCGCTGGGTGTATGAGAGGTTTCGCCTCCCCATTGCTCCTGTTTATGGTGGATTCCCTGTGAAGTTTCGGACCTTCCTTGGTGACCCCATCCCGTACGAACCCAACGTAAACGCTGCAGAGCTGGCAGAGAAAGTCAGTATTCATTCTTCTTCTCTTCTCCTCAAATCATGTGAGCATTGACCATCACAGTCTTCTGAAAATGTGCTTCAAGGTGCCATAAGCTAGAGGTGTGAATCTTCACTGGCCTCACGATTTGATTATAAATCCCCTGTCAACAGTTAGAACAGTTGGCTGTTAGTGGAGTTTTAAAGGTCGTTATAATAACGATAGTTTGGAGCAGGAGAAAAGCAGATTAATTGATTAGCTGATTAATCGGCCGATAGCTATCAAGAGATGCCGGGATGAGGAGGTTGTCTGACTTGGGGACCTCAGGTTAGCATCCCACCTCTTTGCAGATGATGTGGTTCTGTTGGCTCCTTCAGAACGCGACCTTCAGGGGGTTTGCAGCCAAGTGTGAAGCGGTCGTGATGAGAGTCAATACCTCCAAGGCTGAGGTCACGTTCTCTGCCGGAAAACGCTGGATTGCCCCCTCTGGGTTTGGAGTGAGTCGCTGCCCCAAGCGAGCAAGTATCCCGGGGTCTTGTTCACGGGTGAGGGTAAAAATGGAGCGTGAGATGGACAGGCGGTTCGGTGCTGTGAGGGGTAGACCCAGAACATGCTGGAGAGATTATAGATCTTGTCTGACCTGGGAACGCTTCGGGGTTTCCAGGTGCACCAGCGACCCGGCCCCGGATAATAGGAAGATGATGGATTAATTTCCTGGTCTCCACTATGGGTTGCTAATCATCAACATACCCCACATTGTGAAAAAATAAAATTTTAAAGGGTTAAGAATGTAAAATGTAATGATTATTTGGTAGTTAGAAAGATTTAACTCGGTGAAAGTGGAAAGTACTATCAATATATAGAGTTTTAGTTTTAGGAAGGGGACAGTTCATCCCAGACTGTAAAAGAATAAAAAAAGTCCCCCAGTATCTAGTGTACACAAAATAATTCAATTTTTGTGTTTTTTTGCGGCATTATGTAAACAAACTTGCATTCATTTATTGAATTATCTATCAACCAGGCACAGTACAAATATCAGCACTCTGACTGTGGTGTCCTGCAGGATGTTTGTAATACTGTGAGAAAAGCACCAACCATTCATACACAGTGCTGTTGCTCTGCAGGTGCAGCAGGCAGTTCATTCTCTGATAGACCAGCACCAGCAGATCCCAGGGAACATCCTGAGAGCATTGTTGGAGAGATTTCACACCAAACACAAAGACCATTAACATCAGCAGTGCAACAACGGAGACAAACTATCCAGTGTGTGACCAAAACGACACGTCCCATTGGCTCAGACGGCTGCAGTGTGCACAGGTTTGGTGGAACATGTTGGAATATTTGCACAGCTTTCATCACTGCTTCCGAACTCCACCGGCTGCAGCTGCTGAGGTTCCACATGTTTTTTGTATCACACGTTTCTGATATGTTTCCTTGCGGACATCGACTCCCTTTTCCATCTGATGAATCTGTTTAAAAGCTAGACTTCCTGAAGTTGTGATATTGGACTTAACATTAATTATACCTCAAACGAATAAAATGAAAGGATTATTATATTTTCATTACAGATAGGCACACTATCTAATCTGTTGTGTTCCGATATCTTGATTAATTACTGTATGGTCAGATAGAAGATGGATCTTAGGACTGATTGGTGGATTGAACTTCGTCGTTGTAGATGTTCTCTGTAAATATATGGGATTCAGGCAATTTCTTATTTGAAAACTGTGATACAAGTACAACAATGTCAGCAAGAGATTCTTAGTCTTGGTTAGTCAATAAATGTGGTGTATTGTCCATGCCTATAGATTGCAGTGACTGTGCAGATACTTGCTTGTCATGATAAACCTTGAGTTTGCACATCTTCAGTCTTACTTGGCTTGGAGCAGACGGTGGTTATGGTGTGTTCACACCAAACGCAAAGTCAACTTTTCGCACGTTGCAACTGCATACAAAGTTAATGCAAAGACGCGACTGGATTCAAATGACTCAAACTCTTTCTTTTATTGTAATTTACTGGAAATTGTCCCAATAATTAAAACAAAGGGCAATCTAACTGTGTATAATTATACGGAGGGTGGGTAATTATAGGGACAAGGAGAAAGTTCTTTCCCCCCTGGATATTAATGACTGCTTATAATCTCTACCGAACTACACTCGTCCAGCCAACATGTAAACACTCAAATGAAACGGTATGTATCACCTGAACACCTAACACCTGAAACTAGTCATGCAATAGGTACATATACTTACTTACTCAGAAAAGTTCCAGGAAATGAATGGACTGGATAAAGCGCTCCCTAAAGAACCTTTCAAAATGTCAGGCCCTCAGTGATGAAAAAGTCCCAGTTCTATGAGACGGTTGTCTTCCTTACACTAACCTTAGTTTTACTCACTCTACAGTATAGTGAATCTTATTACACTGCCAGTGACAGATGTGATGTCTAAATAGTTTTTGGCTTGGTGTACATGAACAGAGGCTGAACAAAGTAACTAGAACACCAGAGGCTGTCAAGCGTTGATTGATGTATTTAATTTGTCACGCTATAGGTTATGTTGTATAAAATGACATCATATTGTAAGGTGTTCCTATTATTTTGTACAAAAGCCCTGAGAGGCAAGTGAGAAAAAAATCCTGGGATCCACTTTCTAACTTTGATCAAAATAGTTTTCTCTTCTGTGTTTATGACATGGGTACTTCTCAAGTCTCTTAAGTGTCGTTTCCTCGCTCCTCGATCCTCGCTTGAACCGGAAGTTGTTTCTGCGGCGCCATATTGACGGCCGTCCCAAAGCTCTAATGTAGCTCGGAGGAGCGAGGATGGAGGAGGGACCTCGGAGGATCCATGAGCGAGGACCCACGAGAACAGACTTCCAGGAAGTCTTTTAATGGCCAACACGCCCCCTCATTGTTCATCAGTCATGTGATTGGACGCTGCAGCCGATTGGACTGACTGACTGGAGTTTAACACCAGAATGAAGACGGATCAGAGAATAAACTCTAGATTATATTTGATTAGGTTTCTGATTCAACATCTGGTTTAAATAAATGTTCATTGTAGTCTGAACAACAAAAGGACCACAAACAACTTTCTTCATTTATTAGAAAGATTTGTGTTTTCATGATCTGATGTTTCCCTCAATAACTTTTATTATGGAAACAATTAAAGTCAGAGAGAGCTGGAGAGACGAAACACTTTTTACATCATTCCTGAGTGTTTGATGAGTTTTATCATTTAAGAGAAGCAATAATCATAATCTGAGTTATTTAATAATACATCTGTACAATTTCAAAACGTACAGACGCAAATAATTCATAAATAAGATGATAGCATTCCCCTGGTAGAAATCGATCCTGCGTTTATAAACAGAACACAGGACACCGTTTGTTAACAGACTACAGAGAGAAACACCTCTATAGTGGTGATTACTGTGTGTCTTTATTAGTTGTTAGTATTATTAGTTACTGCTATTAAGTACAGTGATCATGTGAACACAAAGTTATCAAAAGTCTCTCCAGATGTTAAAGCCGACTGACAGCTGATCCGCCGTCATCAGTAACAGACCACGTGACGCAACTGAGGAAAGGACGTCTCATGTATTTTAAAACATATTTCCTCGTTCCTCTCTCCTGGCATGGTTTCCTCCATGCATCCCTGGTGGGAGGGACTAAGAAAGGAGACGCAAGTGAGGGAAACGGGGATGCAATTAAGAGACTTGAGAAGTACCCATGGACTGTAAGAAGTGGACGTAGTCACCGTGACAACACCCAAACACAGACAACTCCTGGATGGAAAAAAAACGCTGTGGTAGACCTGTCAATCACTGTGTAGCCCGCCCTAAAGCATCCCCTGCTTTATAGTCTGTTTGACTCTAAATGGACCATAATTTACTAAATGAACATCATGCTGTATTGAAGAAGACTTGAAACTAGAGATTGAGACCATCTTTTTTTAAATTTCTTAATCTTTTTTCATCTGTGAAACAGGTGGGATGTACATTTTTGTTAGGCATAATTTTTCATGTGAGTTTTTTCTTACTCACAATATATGACCTTTGTGTTTAGAGTGCTTGTAGAAGCTTGAAGAACACATGAAAGCTTTTAGTCCTATTTAGAACACGGGGTAGTGGTGAACTTTAGCCTCTTGAGACCAAAATGAATATTACAACAAACACTTGATCCTGACAAGAGAAATACATGTTTTCACAGATGATAAAAAAGAATAATGATTCTGGCAAAACCATTTTCTCACCTGTTAAGTCTTATTAAACATAGAAAACAATTTTGATCAGACTTAGAAAATGGATCACCAGATTGTCTTTTTCTTACTTGCCTCTCAGGTTTTCCCTAATTTTGTTCTATTTTGCACAAATATTTAATATTTCCAATCGAATTTGGCTTTAAAATGAACTAAATCCCAGGCATATATGGTAGATAACTCATAATATGAATATTTCTTGTTTTATTGTCAATGAACCGTCCACTGAACTCAGCGAATATTTCTGGTGCAAGTCCAGACTCCAGTCTGTAAGGACTCTGAGTTACTTTAGAGTTTTCAGTGTCTTCTGATACAGAGTTGCAGGAATGACGTATTGTTGCAGGCCAACTTCAGAAGTTAGCACCTCGATGAAACCAGTCCGGTGCTGAATAGAATATTTTAATTGGCTTGGATTATTGCAGAAAATAGAAACATTCATGAGAGGGATATTTACTGAAGTACTTTATGCCATAGAACAAAACGTTAAAATCTCTGAAGCTTGTGTTAAGCAGACCTTACATCAGACATCTAACCAAAAACCCATTGACTTTGAGAGAAGAGAACCGGAAGTGAAGAAATGCTGACTCATTTCTGGCTTTTAGGAACCATTCCTGCACCACTCTATTGTAATACATTTTTTTAAATTTGAAATATTCTCACATTGTTCTGAAACCGTTGATCAACTCTGATTCAATGGCGATTGCCGTGACTGAGGATGTGGTGCTTTTCTCTGTTTTGTATGTGTGGTATTGGACTGACTGTAGACATATGAAGACAGGAACTTATATGCATTTTACACTATTTCATTTTTTACATTTTACAAATTAAACAATAAATTGATTAATTAAAAGAAAACATCTATTGATTGATCAATGATGAAATTAATCATCGTCGTACATGAGTGCCCTCTAGAGCTGGTGAGAAGTCATCAGTTTGAGCTGATGCAGTAGACTTAAACTAAGACTAGAATAGAACTATATTTAGTAAAAGAGGGAGAATTATGCTCACAAAAAACAGAATATCCTCTGTCAGGCAGTTCCAACAGCTCAGATGAGAGCCCAAAGCTGTCTTACCACATTTCACTTTGGAATAACTCATAAGTTCAAACAGGCAGGTATAAAGTAGTAAAATCATTTTTAAATTGGTTGCCTGTCTTAAAAAAAATCAATGAGAAGAATGTAAAACAATGTGGGCTGTCCCTCTGACCTCACGGCGAGACTTCACTTAACAAAGGGGACTTACCGTCAATAACTCTAGTGCTTGTGAACATGCATCTGTGTATCTGGAGTGTCTACCAACCCACAGACTGTATTTAAGATGACCGAGTCAGTATTTTGTCAGCTGTCTGGATTAGAAAACATGTGATTCAACAAGCCACTCAGATTGGACTCCCTTTCCGATATGCCACATGTAGCTTCATTGGAACATGCCGTCCACGGTTTGACATCTGCCTTTGCAAAGGTGCAAAATGAATCAAGCTAAAGGTAAAGAAACCCTTTTATTTCTCTGAGTTCTTTCCATAATGTTTTCAGACACCTGCAATAACAATCTGAGCCTGTCAGTGGATGCACACTGACAGTGAGGAGTTGCCCTGAGCGAGTACATTGCAACATGTTTAGCAGCTGCCGTCTGCAGCGTTCTCCCTCGATACTGGAAAATCAATTTAGAACCGTCTCGTTCCCGTTAATCTATACACAAAAACATGAGAAAATGCCGAAGTTTCCCTTTAAATAGAAATGATGATCTGCAAAAGAGTCTTGAGCTCAATTTAAGTAAATAGGATTAAACTGAATGATCACTGCAGGAAAACTTGTTGTGCATTTGGGTCTGATTTCTGTATTTGTGGGCCTGTGTGTGTGTGTGTATGTGTGTGTTTGTATGTGAGCTCTTACAGCCAGAAAAACAGCCTGTCGTGAAACTCAAGTATGGTCTCACTTTAATATTTATCATATCCGTACAAATACTGATCGATCACTTTATCGTGTGCATGCATGATTATGTAAATATTGTGATTCAACAAAATGGATTTTGCACACGTAGTTGTCAAAGTATCACTGCCAACTCAGATTTTTTTTATTTTATCTTCTAAAGAAGCCTGTGAGACCAAGTGTGCTTTTGAATCTATCTGGATGCTTTCCTTCTGTGAACCGGTTGCCTTTTTCCATATTTATGTTGAGATGTTTTGAGATGATCTAACATGTCTTTTAAATGATGTCAGTATATAAATGTTGCACTTTTAAATATTGATACACTAATGTTAGTTAATCTGTTAATAAATCTATTTTATTAAGATGTTTCATGTAAATTCCTTCCTTCTGTTTATTCTATCAACTGTATAAATCAGTGCTTTTTGCATTTCTCATCAAATATGCCAGGTGCAAGATACCAGGGACTTCCTGTCAGAAAGTTTTCTCACCGTGGAACCAGTAGAAAGCTGTGAGTGGACAATGGTACCATGGCAGTGGTCTTCGCCAAAAAAAATCGTTGGTTTTTGGTCACCTTTTATGAAAAATTAGAACAATAACATCGAAAATGATCCGGTTCAAAGCTAGAATCATTGTTGGCAATTGCATCCTGTCTTCTTGTGGACTGTTTCCTGTAGAAGGGGGGTCAATCCAGCTTGGGCGAGTGGTCAGACTTCCGGCGAACGGAAATTTACGCTCGGGGAGACGCGGCACTTCTTGCAACTTTACTCGCTGAAAAATCTGTCAATCAACACCCGCTTTCGACACCCGCCTTCCTGAGACTCTGACGCGTCGAAGGAGGGCTTATTGACTGAAATCGACCGATGATAGGCTGAGCTACAGCCCCATACACAGATCAACTGAGAAAATCCTTTGGATGACAGCCAGAAACATGCTCTGAGAGGACCCTTGCTGTCAAAATGATTTCTAACGGCTGTATTTGGATGTATTGAATAATATGAGTGATTAAAAGAAGTGAAATATGTAGTTATATAGTATATAAAAGTACAATGTAAGAGCTGCAACAGCTGGTTCGAAAATGACGACCTCGCGTGACCTCTCTGTACTAAAGCCTCTTATTCTTCACTTTATCCCAGCCAACTTTTATTCAACAACTACTTGTTGTGCTATGATTTGGGAGAGTTTTTAGGCAGCCAGCTGCATTATTTCAAAAACATAATATCAATAAAAGTGCTTTTTTTTTCAGGCGATCCTGAATATTTTCAATTTGAGCTGTGTAATATCTTCATGCACTATATTAACCAGCAACATATACACAATATTTACCCATCTGAACAATCTCAAAGTGTTATCTGATTATAGCATCAAAAATTATTAAAATAGACCTTGTAGTTACAGAACTGTGGTCTCCTTAGTATGGGTATGCCATTTTCGAGCAGAGGCCTACAAATGGGGCCCGAGTTTAAGAGGTTAAGTGTAGGTGATGAGACACAGCAGGGTTCGATCAGGGGCGGGGCAGATAATCACAAAGGCGGGAAACAGACATGGACAGGAAGTG